TTCCGTTCTGCAACCCCATTAGACTGAGGAGAATATGGAGGAGTTTCTTCATGAATTATGCCAAAATTTCGACAATATTCACCAAAGGGGTTAGATTCATATTCTCCACCTATGTCTGATCTTAACCTTTTAAGTTTCTTACCAGTTTGTGTTTCAGCTTCATATTTAAAAATAATAAATTTCTCAAGTGCTTCATCTTTATGTTTAATTAGATAAACATAACAATACTTACTATAATCATCTATAAAAGTGATAAAGTATCTTTTAAAGTCTTTAGTCACAACACCATTGAACTCACAAATATCAGTGTGTACTAAATCAAGTAATTCAGAATGCCTTTCTATCGAGTGATAAGGCTTTCTTACTTGCTTTGCTTCAACACATACTTGACATTTTTGATTTCGTTCAACATCATGTTTTGGAATTATATTAAGATTCATCATTCTCTTAATAGAATCATAATTTAAATGACCCAAACGCTTATGCCATACAGAAGAACTTACTGTAACATTCATAACAATAGAATCTGTAAAATCAAATTTATTACCAGAACCAGCATGATCAACACGAATTTTAAATAGACCATCAGACAAATAGCCCTTGCCAATAAATAAATTATAATGTTGAATAACAACTTTATTCAATTTAAACGAAAGCTCATAACCTTCTTGGACTAATATAGAACCACTACTAATATTTCTCCGTATTGTTGGGACATGGTGCACCCTCTGTAGAGATAAAATGCGCCCTGAAGGAAACTTCAAGTCCACGCTTCCTACCCCAAACACTTTGGCAGCACTTGAGTTTCCCATTGCTACGGATTTTCCATTAATTGGCTGATAAGACACAAAAAGCAATTTATCAGCACAAATGTGCACATTTGCTCCAGTATCTATTAACCAATCAAACGGTTCATAGACATTCAAAAGCTCAGGTTGTAAAGAAACAAACCCGTCAACAGTTGTCTCTGGATCGCTAGCATTGCTAGGTTCCCCAACAACCATATTCGCCACAGGTTTTTCAGCGGGTCCAGGTTTGACCTTAGCTTTCTTCGTCGGACAATCTTTAATCCAATGTCCAACCTGTCCACAGTTCCAACATGGTTTGTTTGCTTTGGGTTTCTTATTTTTAGCCTTAGCCTTGTCTTTATTGGCCATTTTCATATTTGCATGGTTCACTTTTCTTTTTCCCATTATCATATTAGCCTTAGGTTCAAATGGCATATTATGAACTTCTTTTCGATGTTCTTCTTCTATGTTGATTGATATCATTAAATCATCCAAGGTCAACTTCCCTTTCTGATGCTTTAACGACATTCCAAAACTTTCCCAAGACTTTGGAAATTTATCAATAATTGACATAACCAAAAACTTTTCAGGAAGTTTCATATCAGCATCAGCGAGGGAATGTTCCAAGTTGATCAATTCATGTGTCTGCTCAGATACAGACTTTCCTTCAGCCATCTGATATTTTAGGAACTTAGAAACAGAATACTTTTCGAGACCTTGCTCTTCAGTATTATATTTCTTGTCCAACTCATCCCATAACGACTTTGCAGTGTACGAATCAGAAAAATAAACATCAAAGAGCGTATTTGACAAAGCAGACAAAATAGCTCCTCGAACAATTTGATCTCTTTCGTCCCACTGAGCAGTTTCAGTTGTTTTGGGATCATTATCAGTTGGTTCAGGCCTAGCCACCTGAATTATCGTCAAAATTCCTTTCATCGTAAGCCAAATTTTCATTCGTTGTTGCCAACGTTTGAAAAATTGCCCCGAAAATTTTTCCGGTAAGCCGGATAAATCGACTTTTGAATTCAACATAGCATTACTTGGTATGGTGCCAGAACCACTTGCCATAATGATAAATTGAAAAAAAAAATAAAATAAAATAAATACGTATAACTCTTTTGAAAAATCTCGTTTTAATCACAAAATCTGTTTCTTCAAGATTGTTGGAAAAATAATGATTGTAAAGGCGAATTAAGAACGAGTTCAACAATTGTGTTTACATCTATGCCAACAATTTCTGATTTTCTATAACTCCCTTAAAAGTATGAGTTGTTTCTTGAAACTTTTGAATTGCCAAGAA